ATCAGGGGGGCAGTTGGAATGGAGCCAATCGACGGTTTTCGGACAACGGTCACCACATTAATCACACTGACGTTGGTGACTTCCAGTCCAATTCTGGAGACATGGCTAACTCGGGTCGGCGTTTCCGTGGGCCGGGTGCGCACACTGCTCACTCACATCAGTTTTCAAACAGTAAGTTTTTCCCTTTTCCTGTATTTATAGTTTGCAGTCCAACCCGTTCCATCTGACTTTTCATTCTAGTCCCCCTTGACCGTGTCGCGCTATTCCGTTTGTATCCATATTGACAGCCTGCAATTGAGGCAAATGAAATGAAAAGTTTCACAATTATTTTTGGATTTATTTCATAACCGTTTGAGGGGAGCGCAATTCGAATATGACTGCAGCTTGGCCCACATCGTCGTTGCTCGGAACAGACTAATTATTGTCCTCCCAGCTGTAAAACGCGCATGCGAAGAGCCAGCAGGCGGCAGCCTCCAATTTCTAACTATAAGCATGCCATCCTGCAGCTCACGAATGAAGCAGTGCCGAGCTCCTTTTCACCAGTGAGCCGATCTGCTTAAAAGCTGCCTTATGGCAGTTGCTCTGGTCTAACGGTGTGTCTGCGATGGACGAACCAGCACCATGTCGGCAGGGGGTTTATGCTACCCTCCAGCTGCGGTCGTCTGTTCCGTTGCATTCGTTCTATCGTCCTCCCGCCGTCATCGTGGTGGTGGGCAATGCCAAAAAGTGGTCCTGGCTGTATACGCGTGCTAAAGACAACGACGGGTATCCCGTCAGGCGTCCCGCAAGTATCCCTCCTGTCGCCCATTCTATTTGATTTCATGATTAACTATCCCAGGAGGCTCTTCACACAGACTCTCACCGTGAGTGAGGATCTTCCTTGTTCTCAGGGCTTCCAAGGGTGTCTTGAGTGTTTGACTTTGCAGGACCGGACACCGTTGCATCTTACGTTCGGTATTGAATATCCGCCCTGTAGAAGTTGTTTTTGAGACACACGCAGCTATCAGTAGACTAATTTTAGTATCATGTGCAGAGCACATTGTTTACTGCTTTTATTTTTAACGACAGTGATCGTACCCCTACGATGTCCTGGACCGTTACGTTGTTCCTTGATTTTATACCACGAGTGCCCATTAGCATCCCGAAGGTTTTTTACTGTTTACCCAAACGTGCGCCAGATTTGTTCGATAAGGAGCGTATCAATAGACTTTCTGACTAAACCCACACAATGTTTTTTTCAGATGAACAGCCCTGGCAACGTGGTCACATTGTAGGCCGCAGGAAATCCCCCAACGGTTTGCCGAACCGAACTCCCGGTATGTGTTGTGCAGTTGTCTGTGAAGTTTCTGTTTCGGCACAGCTGCATTTCTTCTTCCCTGCGCGCACTTCTCCAAAATGATCTTGTTTCTGACACGGACCACAGTACCCGCCTTGTCACTCGGCATTTGGCACCGATA